ATATAGAGCGTGTATGTGGCGCACGGGAGGGTGGAAAAGGTATGTGTATAACAGGGTTCTTAACGAGGTCTTCAGAGAGCGAGTATATATATATATTATTTTTATAAGGTGGGACGCGTGCGCCCGCGATTTCGAAGGGAGGATCGTGCACGCTCCACCCTCGGTTGTACATTATACACATGAAACTGCAGCGCGCGAAGCTCATGATTTTTTTCTTTTTTTCCAGCTCGAATCTCTTCGCGTGGCAGCTGCTGGCGAGGGTATATATTTTTTTTTTCCTTCATTTCTTTCTGCGCGATTTATTGTATATGTATATATACACTTCGTTGACGTTGTCGCTCGTTTGTACGAGGAACCGAAGCGAAAGAAGACTCGCCGATTTGGTCGTTTGATTCGCGTATCGATGTCGCTCCGAGATACGTCGATGCAACGGAAAGAAAAATAAATTATTTTTCTGTGCATAATATATAATACGTCGAACAATCGGGGATGGGGCGAGGCGAGGCGAGTTCGAGGGATGCAATACAGCCGATCGTTGTTTATACCCAAGCCGTGCTCGCGTAACGCGATACGGAATCATTGGTTCAAGGATGCGCTATTGTTCTTATGTATATATATGCGCTATGTTTACCAGTATATATATATGTATATACAACAGCTCGATGTCGAGGCTCTACCCATTGATGTATACCTTATACGTAATTGCGGATATTGTTATCCGCGCTGCAGTTGACGTGAGTCCATTTACTTACTTTGTTACCTTCGCCATGCGATTAAAGACGTACGAGTATGATTCGTTCGAGCTACAATCAAAAGTGATTACACACATACCTGTTTTAAATGTCATTCGTGCATATAATATATATAGTCTTAAAAACTAATCAAAGCTATGGCACCAGCGAACTTCCAACAAGCATCGATTCAACGGGGAAATTATTTTGCACTTATGGTACAAAAGTACTTCAACGAGCGAGAATACCTGTGTATAACAACGTACCACAGTGACCCTCGAAACTCTCTCTCTGGTAAAATTAATTGGTACGTCTCCGGCCGTGACGTTCGCCCTTATACAGTCGCTGGAGGGCTTGTACGTATATATATACCTTACAGAATATAACCCGTGCAATGGACTTTGATTTCACGATTTTCGTAATACAAGCGCAGTATGCGTTTTCGCCTCTCTTATCGTTACGTAAAATAAACACATCTACAACTGTACATCACCACTGACCCTGTAAAAGTACATATACTTACTGACTCGGATGAAAAATTTCCTCGTATACAAAGCACGAAAGCAGAGTATTATATTATGAGGTGGGGTACAATGGGGGTCTCCTCTTATTGATGCTTCGCGAATGCTGCACGTCACAAGTGCAATCGCATCAATAATAGACGGATGGCCCTCTATATTGACGTTTGCCGCGTGCACAATGTACAATACCCCCTACATACACCAATGCACGCTCGTTGATAATAACGACCCTCTGCTGTGTACATATATATATATATATGTGTATACATGTACTTGGATATCCACGTAACGTGTGCACGAGGCTGTGAATTTCGAGGATATCAAGCGAGTTTTTTTTTTTTTTTTTTTTTTCATGCACGACATGATAAAGCTAAAAAAGAATAGAAAATAGATCGCGCGCGATGAAATGCACAAAGTTTCCCTTCCGTCAAATTAATTTTTACCGCGACGTATTGTGTTTTAACTCGCGATTTCGGCGCATACACGTAAAATAATATACGTTGGTGCGCGTTAATTAAAAGTACGTAAGGGTACGTGAACGTGATTTCATGGAAAAAAAAGAAAAAAAAAAAAGAAAAAAAACATTTCATCAAACGAAAGCAAAAGAGAGAGGGTTGAAGGGTAGAGGGGAAAAGCGCGAAATTAACGAAAGCATCGATCGACGGGGGGGGTGCAGACGGAAAGAAAAGAACCTAATTCCTTCCGGTCACGGAGCCCCGAGCATGTGTAGGCGTATGTATACAGCCCCGACTGCGGAGGCCTAAAAAATAAAAGAGAGCACATGTACACCCGCGGGCCGTACGTAGGTATAGAGACGGGCAAAAGAGCATTGCAGGGAGTCTGCCAAGTGTAAAAAAAAAAAAAAAAAAAAAAAAAAAAAAACAACCTTTCAGCGATAACGGAGCGGAATCTCAGGAGCCTTCCAAATCACACACGCTCCCCGTAATATCACGAGTCAACAAGTTTGATTAATTTTTGGCAAGGAACTAACTCGCGATGCCCTACACATGTATATACATTGCTCCTCTCTTTTGTACATCGCACGTGTAGGTAAGTGTACATAATATATACCTGCATATTGGCAAACGTCTATGGAATATGGGATCGACTAAGTAAGCCAGTGAGCAAAGCGGGAGCACGTTCGGCTAAACTCGATCGTGTACCGCACACATGTCATAGGTGTAGGTACACCTACGTGTATTTTGGGTGTTAAATGTTATAACAAAGTTGCAGTGTACTAACGATATACTCGCGGTGGTGAATCGCGTTTTTTTCTGTGAAAGGTACGCTTGATACGGGTATATTGGTATAGGTGAATTGTAGGCAGGGAGGGAGATAGGCAGCATCTGCGCACCCTGCGTGTATACAATAACGCATAGTCGCAGTATGTATTAAAAAAAAAAAAAAAAAAAAAAAAAAAAAAAAGGAAGCGTGCTGTTGTCTCTCTCTCCCCAAGTTTTCGAGGCCAAAGGGACGAAACATCTTTGCACGCGCGGCGTATTGCGAACCGGTGGTCCCTCTTGAAAAAAAAAAAAAAAAAAAGAATAAAAAATACGAGGCTGTGCGCCTGCCACGCGACCAAGGAAATCCTCGGGGCACCGTACAGCCGCTGCCGACGCACCTGCAGGAACCCACCCTACCTCCCCATTTTTTTTTTCTCGTTCTTTATTCGTACCTACATCTTCTTATTTTCCGTCATCCTCCTCCTCCTTCTCTTTTTATTTTTGGGGGTTTCAACTCTCGGCACGAGCCTCGCACGAGCGGCAGCAGGTCAGCGGTTCTCCAGCTATATACATATATACACCTGGTACAGGGGCATCAACACACAGTTGCGTTGCGCACAAACATTTTTCGCGCACCCGAGGATGTGATAAATGGACCCGGGCGCGCTTTAATATCTTCATTTCCGCCCTTAATTTCAAAGGGGTGGGGGCGAGTCGAGTTTTTCAAACTTGTATGGAGCACGCGGCGCAGGTGATGAAACTCTGCAACTTTTGGGGCAATTTTTGCCACTCTCCCCATCCATAGAGAGGATTGAGATTTTGTATTTGATTTAAAAAAATTTTTTTTTATTGTTTTCGAGGACGTTTGCGGGATATTAGGTTATTCGAGGGGCCTTGGAGTTTCAACATAATTTTAACGAGTTTCGTAGCTCGAATGCTCGGGGTTTTGGAGCTTTTTAGTTTGGATGGTGCTTGCGTATAGAGCACGTGTGGGCAGGGTGTGCTTCTAGAAATATTATAAGTAAAGGTGAAACATTTTACTTTTTTTTTTTTTTTATTACAATTAAACGAAAAGTGTCTGCTGCTCTATTGATTTTGTTATTGAAAGTATACCTGATTGTAATTTTGTGTAGGCAGCAGAGAACAAGATTATTGGGCACGAGCTTAAAGCGTGACTGATTGAACATTTATTGATTACTGTATAGGTAAAAAGTGTTTTATAAATTTTTCAAATTTTCACGTCCTTACCTGTTATTATTGAAGTAAAAAAATTGAGAAAAATATCTCAAGTAACTAACGTAATTTTTTTTTTTACTACCTTTTATTTTTAAGCCGTTGATCTAAAAGATGTAGTGCATATCAATGCTCTACGATAATCGTATTCGGAAAAGTGGTTAAAAATAAAAAAAAATAAAAATTTGCGATTTGGGAAAAATTCATTTCATAGCATCCAATACTTTTAGTTCATATAAACTGTTATGCTTTTTCTCTTACGTAAATTGTACTGTTAGTAAAATCCACATAAACTTTTTTTTTTCTTTCGATTTTCAATGCAAAATTTTATTCTACGAATAAAGATGTTCATGACTGTTACAGAGCGTTTATCACTTGATATTTTTGTACTTTGTCTTAGCAAAATGTATACATTTCATGTAAACCTAGTCCTAATTACCAAATATAACAATTCCCAACTGCGCCTAATTTTTTTGTTTATTTACAAGCAAAACCAGCTCTTCGTCTCTTGTCGTACGTGTACAATCCGGTCAATAATAATCAGACAAATGAAACATCGCAATCGAGGGTCTGCCCCCAAAAAAAAAAAAAAAAAGAACCGGCCGTTCGATTGCAAAATACTTTATCGTACAGATTTTCGCCTCGCATCTGCCGTCCAATGTATATATACACATTATACTTGATACATCGCCCTGGCACAGCGCATTCCCTTGCTCCGAAAAGGCTTGTTTTTTTCTCTCTCCCCCTATTGCTCCTGACGCTCATCAGCTGCAGCATCAGCAGCTGTTGCTGCGTATATATACACGTACATGAGTAAATCCAGGAAAAATGTCGCGTTTTTACTTATTTTTGATTTAAAAAAAAAATTTTTTTTTATTAAGCACACCTCCAAAATGGGACTTATTTTTCTCTTAGAGGCATATACTGTGTAGAAAAAATCGTGAACACGGGTTTTAGTTGAGGTGGCTCTTTTTTCGATTTTTAATGAAATTACTATATCTTGTGTAATTTTTCACATAAATTAAGGAAAACCTTGTCACCTCGACTGAAACCGCAGTGATTACGATTTTTCCCCATTTCGAGCAAAATAAGCCCCACTTCAGAGGTTTGTCTAAAAAAAAAAAAAAAAAAATTTTTTTCTTCAAACAGGCGACAATTCGAAATTTTTTTTGTGGATTCCTCATATACGTGCCCTATAATCCAAGTGTATATCTATACACTTTAGTGCATCGAACGGTTCGAATCGTGCGGGGGTCCCCCCTTTTTCAGGGGAATATAAATATAAATAATATATAGACGTACAATTAGGATAGATATTCGTGCCTCAAAAGTAATCTAGTAGTAATACCACTAGGAAATACAAGTTATAGTTTAGGACGATCTGCTGTTAACATTTCGAGAGCCAATACCTCGGCTGAGGTTAATGCTCGGGAGTCTTCCGGGAATATAACTTTGTTACAGCAAAGAAAAATCGGTTGTCATACGTACAAGTAAGTAAATGTACATAACTGCTGGTTTTCCGGGTTTTAATATTTGCCTCTATGATTTTTTCTGTCCTGTTTTTCAGTCACGTTTGTAAATTAGTCTCGTACGTTTTCAACACATCATTGTGCAATGTAGACATTTTTTTTCCTTTGTACCGATCGCATAAATCGTATGAAAACAATTGTCGTCGACAAACGCTTTGTTGCGAGTCTTTTAGTTATTTTTCATCCAGAAAATTCAGATAAATTTCTATTGATTACGAGTAATCGCAGTAGAACTCTTTAACAATAAGCTCTCTCTCAAGCCTTCGAGTATACATATACAATCTGTATTCATTTAATAACACACTTTTATCAACAGATTCCACGACACGCATAGGTCAACTGCGTTCAATATCGGTTCAATAAGCATTGACTCTCAGACGTTATTGAGAGCTCAATCATGAAGCTGTCCCTACTGCCGTTTGTGCTTCTTCTTGTGGCAAATTTGCATTCTAGTGGTGCATGGCGCAGTTTTAAGAAAGGAAGAAACAATTATGGCGACATTGGAGAGCCTAACTTGTCCAAGCTCCGTGATCCACCGAAAGAACAGTGGTTCACGCAATATTTGGACCACGATGACGTCGTGGAAGGACGCACTTGGAAGCAGGCAAGTTGTCAAATCTATAACAGTAACATATCATACACTGTACAGTTTGCTGATTGTTCCTACGGTGGTTCATTTCAATTGATGCTCTGTTGCAGAGATACTTTATGAATTCTGATTACTACAAGGATGGTGGACCCATCTTTTTGATGATTGGAGGTGAGGGACCAGCCAGTGGAAAATGGATGCTGGAAGGCGCAATGATTGAGTATGCCAGGGACTTTGGAGCCATGTGCTTCTTGCTGGAGCACAGATACTATGGCATGAGCCATCCGGTGTCGTGAGTATACCGTTTTGCACCTTCTAATAATCTCGGATGAAAATTTTATATGGCATTTAATTGACAGTGACCTGGGTGTGAAGAACATGAAATGGTTGACTTCCCAACAAGCACTTGGCGACTTGGCCTACTTCATCAATGGTATGAAGGGTGAACACAAATTAACTAACAACAAGTGGATCGTCTTTGGGGGCTCTTATCCCGGCTCATTGGCTGCTTGGATGCGTTACAAGTACCCTCATCTCGTCCATGGTGCAGTATCTTCTAGTGGTCCTCTGCTCGCTAAAATTGACTTCCAAGGTTTACCGACTCACTTTTTTTATATACTCACGCACTTACTCGGCTATTAGTGTTTGTTAAACCAAAAACAAAAGGTATCAAATGATTCATAACATCTTGCAGAGTACATGATTGTGGTTGAAGAATCTCTAAAGACACATTCTCAAGCTTGTGTCGATGCCATTGCAAACGCGACTAGCCAAGTTGATTTGTTTTTGAAACATCGCAATGGTCAGCAGGAACTGGAAAAACTTTTTCAGTAATGCAACAGTTTGCATTTATAAAACATAATGCCTTTGTAAGTGTCATTTCGACGATTTAAAAAAAAATGATTTCTTATTTTAGCTTCTGTGATCCAATTGATCAGGGACATACGTCCCAAGATGACATTGCCAACTTGTATGAAACTGTTGCCGAGTACATTGCCGACGTTGTTCAATATAATAAGGACAATCGCAACGGAAGTTCAATAAGCATAGATGACGTTTGTGATGTAATGGTTGATCAAAGTAAAGGGATTCCCCTCCAAAGGCTTGCCAAAGTAATTAGTATGCTGCTTGAGAAGAACAAGGACAAGTGTCTGGATTATAAATTCAATAAAATGGTCGATGAGTTGAGAAACTTAACATGGTCTGAGCAAGAGAAAGAAGCTGGAGGTAAATTTTCATACGAAAAATTTTGATGATAAATTTAAGTGGAAAAATAAAATTATTAGGTCGTCAATGGATGTATCAAACGTGCACGGAGTTCGGGTTTTACCAAACCTCGACTGCACGACCGAAATTGTTCAGCCAAAGTTTTCCTGTTGAATTCTTCATCAAACAATGTACCAAAGTTTTTGGACCCAGGTAGGTATCCTCAAATTTCTCGGCTATAAGTTAACTAACCAAATAAATGATTAAACAAACTTCTTTTTACAGATTTGAACATACCTTGGAACCAGGAGTAATTCGCACCAATTTAATATACGGCGGCTTGACTCTACCGGAAGTAGTTTCAAACGTTGTTTTTGTACATGGAAGTATTGATCCATGGCATGCTCTTGGAATTATCAACTCTACTTTGCCAAACGCTCCCTCAATCTTCATCAAAGGTATTTGATTCTTGTAATGTTGATGTCAAGTTTGAGATCATAAACTTATTTTTTTTATAACAATTACGTAGGTACTGCCCACTGTGCAAATGTTTATCCCTCATCTGATAAAGATCTACCTCAATTGACTGAAGCAAGAAAGAAGATAGCAGGCTTGATTAAAGAGTGGCTCATGTGAACAAAAATTTTCGATATCTATAATGATAAGTATACACAACAACGGAGGCTATTGTTTAATTATTGTTAAATTTAATATTTGATAATGGCATATAAGTTTTTATAAAGTTTTCTCACTTTCATACAATGGGTGAATTTAATAAATTTTACTTAACTTTGTTTATCTGGACTGTTGTTTATAGTCTTCTCCCCCCCCCTCCACACACGGTTATAATCAACTGTAAGGGTTTAATTGAAGCCTATTTCGGAATCATTTAGCATTGTAAGATTAATAGCAGACGTCATTGGCATTGTTTATTAAATTCAGTTTATTAAACAATTGTTATTATTTAGGAGTTTACGCATAATGTATAAAATCACAGACTGAGGCTTAAACCATCTTTATGTGTTATACTGTCGCTGGATTTCAACAAGCCTGTCCATCTGCAACCCGATCTACTTACATGAACGGATAATTCTTATAAAATTACGTTATTCGTCAAAAGTTTGAATGCATTGGTAATATTAGTGAGCAAATCTTAAAGAAAATACTGAATAAAATAACAGTATCCAAAATTTCAACGTAATTATTTATATATAACTTTTTTTTTTATATTAGAGTATGCTGACTTTAAGATTTATATATAACTAGATATGGGTACATGATGATTCGTGTGTAAACTGAAAAACATGTACATATTTTCAAGCGTGTATAATTAGAAACTTTATAAAAAAAAAAAAACATACCCAGTGAAGCACTCGATCATCAAAAACTTATGACTAAAAGCGATCCGTGCACCTGGTGCATCGACGCTACATCGTCTCTACGTATACTTCAAAACTGCCACACTTAACCTCCAAACGCATGACCAAACACTAATATAAATGCGATGACAGCCCGTGCACCCACAGATAAAAGCTCGGATGTTTAATCTGACTCGGACTGTGCGTTCTTGCGAATCGTCAAAACTACCTGCTCCGACTTCTTCAGCCTCTCCGACCACTCGATCAACTCCGGATTATCGTTGCAGAAGTCATTAACCCCTTTTCTGACGTCAGCCAGCCGATCGAGCACGTAAGCACCGCCATCCTGGCCTCTGTCGTCCCTCGCCTCGTCACAATCGTCCACCGGCTTTTTCTGGAGCTGTTGATTGACAATATACAACCGTCACTCACGTTATACTTATGTTATATTATACAACCGCGTTCCTCGCGAGTCCCACAACTCAAACCTTATTCAGTATCTTGGCCATCACCGCCGATGGCGCTCGTCCCTTTTCGGACTCGCTTGACAACTTCGCGCCACCTCCCCCTGGCCCCGTAACATCCTTAGGACACTCCAGCCCTGTCGCGTCGGTGGTAAGACTGGTAAGGCCGTTCTTCTCGTTCACGTCGGTCAGCGACTCCGTCTGCTCGGTCGTGTTACCCTCCTCGGTCTCGCTGTTGGCGCTGGAGACGTTGGGAGTCTGGAGACTGCAGGTTTTCTCGTCCCCTCCCAAGTCGGGGGTCGTGATCGTCTCCGTGCTGTGCACCTTGTCCGTGCCAAGGCTTTCGTATTTCGTTGTGTTGTCCGCCTCCACGATGACGTCTCCTTCGCCGATGCCGCGCGATGTTTTGTCGTTCGTTTCTAGTTGCCCGGGGTACAGGATTATCCGGATGCCGTCGTCCTCGTCGTCGGAAGATGCGAACGATTCCTCGTCGTTGATGGCTTCCTCCTTGCCGATCTCGCTCGAGTAGGCCACCTCGCCTTCGTCCAAGTCGGGCACGACCTCATACTCGACCTGGCCGGGTATAAGTGGGTATGTGTTTTGGATTATATTTGCCAACAGATGCGTTAATTGCTTCAGTTAAAGATATAAGATCCCTCACTTGGTTGGCTGGTGTCTCGTTGCTCGTCTCGATGTCACTTGGTTGAAAGTACTCTCCTCGATCACCCATCAAATCTACTTCGCAAACGGCTTCCGCGTTTTTCTGCGAACCATCGTCTTGGATGACAAACTCGGGGCTCCCGACGTTTTCGTCTGATTTATCCTGGCAAACGTGAAGAAAAAAAAAAAAAGAAAACTTAGTACTCCATTAGTTTTGGAGCAAATAAAAAATCCTGACCTTATTCAGTTTCTCCATTATCTCGTTGAAAAATTCGTAACTTTGGCACTCGAGGCTTCTGTAGTAATCGTCATCGATCATCGTGCCTTCTGTAAAAGATTCAAAGAAACTTTGACTCTCGACACCATCGATTTCCACGTCATCCATTTCTTGTCCGTTCGCATCATCTGCTTCTACCGGTTCTAAAATCGGCACATTCATCGGTGACTCTTTCCCACTGTTGTCTGCAATTTCTGTATCTCTGGTGTAAGATCCATCATCCATTCTCTGAATACCTTCTTCTTCTACCGATTCTGAAATCGGCACATTCATCGGTGACTCTCTCCCACTCTTGTCTGTAATGCCTGTATCTCTGATGTGACCATCATCCGCCCTCTGACTCCCTTGAGTACCTTCTTCTTCTACCGATTCTGAAATCGGCACATTCACTGGGGACTCACTGCCGATCTTGCCGATATCACTGATGTGATCATCGTCTGTCTCTTGAGCACTCTCTCCTTCTACCGATCCTAAAATCGGCACATTTATGGGCGACTCTCTGCCACTCTTGTCTGTATCATTAATGTGACCATCGTCCATCTCCTGAGTATCCTTTGTCCCTACTGATTCTACAATCGGCACATTGCTTGTCAACTCTCTGCCACTCTTGACGGTATCGGTAATGTGACCATTGTCCGTTTCCTGAACAGTGTCTTCTTCTATCGATTCTAAAATCGGCACATTGCTTGGCGACTCTCTGCCACTCTTGTCTGTATCATTAATGTGACCATCGTCCATCTCCTGAGTATCCTTTGTCCCTACTGATTCTACAATCGGCACATTGCTTGTCAACTCTCTGCCACTCTTGACGGTATCGGTAATGTGACCATTGTCCGTTTCCTGAACAGTGTCTTCTTCTATCGATTCTAAAATCGGCACATTGCTTGGCGACTCTCTGCCACTCTTGTCTGTATCATTAATGTGACCATCGTCCATCTCCTGAGTATCCTTTGTCCCTACCGATTCTACAATCGGCACATTGCTTGTCAACTCTCTGCCACTCTTGACGGTATCGGTAATGTGACCATTGTCCGTTTCCTGAACAGTGTCTTCTTCTATCGATTCTAAAATCGGCACATTGCTTGGCGACTCTCTGCCACTCTTGTCTGTATCATTAATGTGACCATCGTCCATCTCCTGAGTATCCTTTGTCCCTACCGATTCTACAATCGGCACATTGCTTGTCAACTCTCTGCCACTCTTGACGGTATCGGTAATGTGACCATTGTCCGTTTCCTGAACAGTGTCTTCTTCTATCGATTCTAAAATCGGCACATTGCTTGGCGACTCTCTGCCACTCTTGTCTGTATCATTAATGTGACCATCGTCCATCTCCTGAGTATCCTTTGTCCCTACCGATTCTACAATCGGCACATTGCTTGTCAACTCTCTGCCACTCTTGACGGTATCGGTAATGTGACCATTGTCCGTTTCCTGAACAGTGTCTTCTTCTATCGATTCTAAAATCGGCACACTGTTCGATGCCTCTCTGACACTCTTGCAAGTATCGCTGATGTGACCACCATCTGTTTCCTGAGAAACAATCGCTATGCAACTAACCGTACATTTGCGAGAGGAAAAAAAGAAAAATGTTTGTACCCCACCTGCATTTGCTTCTCACCGGTTTCTTTCTCGTTCAATATCACTTCGTTTCTTTTTGCTTCAGCATATGAATTTTTCCTGTTTATCAGAGCTGAAACCAAAAATCGTCAACCATAGCAATTGAGCACTCGACGAAAATCATCGGTACATGATAAATAAGCTGGTATACCCATAACACTATCGTTGATCTTCTTCTGCTCGGCCTCGATCCAGCGCAGCCTCTCGGCCTGTGCCTCCTCCGGGCCTCCACGTTCCCTACGGCAATCGTTACGTGGATTAGTAACAATCGAGCATCCATACAGGCTACAAAAACATGAAATTCACCACGCCTCGGCGCAAGCCCGGTCCCGAGGAAACACCGGCCGGTCGTCCAAGTGCTGGAGGTTCTTGCACCTGAGCGTCAAGATGTTGCGGTACATCTTGGCCGTGCGCACTATCGGGTTGCCCGTGAGTGTCAACACTCGCAACGACTTCATGTCCCCGACGATCTGAGGACGAGATCTCAGCATTATCTAAGCAATGACAAACAAATTATCGCACGGTGTATCAAACTCACGTCGATCAGCTCGAGCGTGTCTATCTTGTTGTAGGACAGGTCCAGGATGGACAAGTTGTCCAGCGAGCGGAGGTGCTGTATGTCCTCCACGGTATGCAGGTAGTTGTGCGACACGTCCAAACTGTTGAGGTTTTTCAGGCAATCTGGCCGATCGAGGCGAAACCATATATTTATAATTACAAAAACACCCAACGCCGTCATAGGGTAGTTATACCTAGATTCTCGATCCTTTTGATGAGGTTGTGGGATAAGTTGAGACTGTCGAGTTTCGCCAGGTGCTCGAGGTTCTCGATCCTCTCCACGAGGTTGTTCTGCAGAAAGAGGCACTTGAGCTCCAACTGGTTCTCCAGGTTGGCGATCTCGAGGATCCCGTTGTTCTCCAACCAGAGACACTTGAGGGCAGTGTACTCCTCCAGATTCTCGATGAAAGAGAAACCTGCCGATCGCCCAATAGGCCCATTAATTCACGCGACCACCGCAACTATACACATTGTACAAGCTTCACCTTTGTAGTGCAGGTACAGCACGTCGTTCAGGTACGGCGTGTCGTACAGTTTGTTATCCTTGCAGTGCTTTCTGAGAAACTCCGGGGTCATCCTGAAAACACATAGTTCCCTCTCAAGAGATCGGTATTAAGGAAAACCCCACACCAAGCACACCTCACTCCGTGCATCTTAGGGTTGAACTTGTACACCTTTCCCTTGACCTTCACCCTAGCCTTAGCAGCCTCGTAGGGACTCCCCTCCCCCTCCTCCTCCTCGAGACCCGAGTTCAGTCGGCTGATGAGACCCTCGAACTCTGCCCTCCTCTCGTCCTCGATCGGCAATTCGATCTTCTCGATCGAGGCCTCGATCTTCCGCTCGGCGCTCTCCACCATCTCCCACTTGGTCAATGGCACGGTGGTGCCGCAGGGATCATCCTCCACCTGGGAAGCCTCGTCTCCGTCTCTGGCGTCCTCGACCTCGTCGAAATCTACCAACAGGCTCTGCACGGCCTCCGCGACTCTGCTCTCGATCTTGAGCCTCGTGTCGGATATCAATCGCGAAACGCACTCGGCGTCCGACGGCTCCGCTGATCCCTCCAACTCCATTGCTTCGTGTTTATTGTTGTATCTCGGTGAGTTCGACTAATCGGTGCATGGGAGCGCGTGCACTTGTCGATGCTGCATCGCGTATTTCGTTACGATCATACGTTTTGGTAACTTATCCACTGCTCTGAAGGGGAGAGGGATAATGGTTGATTTGCCATGGCAACGGAACGGGTTTATCGGTGTGTGGTGACTTGAGAACGAATCAATTTCTCTCTTTTCTTTCTTTTTTTTTTTTTTTTTTTTTTTAATATTGCGCCGTTGGGGAGCTTTTACGATGTATCAATGTACGGTTGTGTGGGCGTATGTGCACGTAAGTTTTTTTTTTTTTTTTTTTTTTTTTTAACGCTCGTTTATTCTTTGTGACGTTTATTAATATTATACATACAGTGTGTATCATATACATTGTGGATACCATGCGTTTCGTAAAGTATTGTTTTGTGTAGTTCATGATGCTGCCTGTAATGGCACTACCGTATATAAAAAAAAAAAAGCGCTTTAACAAAACTTAATTTAATTTCTTTTTTCTTTTTCATACAAACAATGGGTAAAGACATATTTTCATACGGATTACAGGTCTTTGTCCTGGTTCGTTTTTTCTTTTCTTCTTCCTCTTTTTTCATCTAAAGTTATGTATAATATTTATAGGTGTACTTACGACTAACGTCATCAATTTAATGACACGACAATAATATTAGTATTACAATTAATAATGATAATAATAAAAAGTAATAAGAATAATCGACGACGATTGTAATGAAAAGATGATGATGATAAACGGTGCACTTGGAAACAAAACTTAAATTATTGGATCTTTATTGTGCAGCGATCGTCGAGTCCATATTGTACATAAATCATAATGCTTGTCTTTACTTATGCTAACAAATAAAAATTTCGTCGCTAAAATGGACAACGTCGGCCTCTCCTTGTGGGGCTCCCAAGCTCTTCTCGTTGGCTGATTGTTCATTTGTTTCATCTTTCCATGAAGGAAAGGCCAAGGTGCCCATTGTAGCGTGTACCGTACGAGCGAACATTGCTCACTTGTGATAAGTACAAGTCCAGTTTTGAAAGAAGCGCATTCCATTGATTTCGCGATACGTGCGCGCACACAAATGATAGAAATTCGTACTCAAAATGGACTTGGAAAAAAAAAAAAGTTAAAAAAATTAATTAACCAAGGTGTGTAATGTAACGTGGTTAAAATTCGAAAAAACAATATCGTGGGTCAACATTGGTATGGTGAAAAACAAGTACATGTTGTAACAAGTTAAAACGTAATGCCATTGCAATATTATAAATATATTCGTACGTGCGTCAATGAATTTACGCTCTGTTGGAGTAAAGTATCATTATTACACTCAAATAATATAGCGATGAAAAAACAACAAAAAGCATACGTTACCAACAAAGTCGCAAAATTGTGAGTTCAATCGCATATGTATGGTAATCGATCCTAAAATCGGCACATTGCTTGGCGACTCTCTGCCACTCTTGTCTGTATCATTAATGTGACCATCGTCCATCTCCTGCTGCCCACTGTGCAAATGTTTATCCCTCATCTGATAAAGATCTACCTCAATTGACTGAAGCAAGAAAGAAGATAGCAGGCTTGATTAAAGAGTGGCTCATGTGAACAAAAATTTTCGATATCTATAATGATAAGTATACACAACAACGGANTATATATATATATTATTTATCTATACGTATAGTACGCACGCGCGATTACAACAACGAAGGGAAAAAGAAAAAAAACAAGGGTCAAAGTCAACAGAGAGGACGAGAGTATATAGGAAGAGGGGGAAAAAATAAAAAGTTCATAGATGAATAAACGTAAAATTTTCCTAACGCCGCGTTGTATTTGTTACAGGGGGAGTATTTACACGCACGGGATAGCGAGAGCTAGTGATTAAAACAACTTTTTTTTTTTTTTTTTTTACAACAATCAACAAAAGAGGGAGAGACGACGCGGATGTGTTTGTTACCCGTCGTCAGCCACAAGAGCAATACAACAATCAATGTGGAAGAAGATACAACCACCGGTGACGCCGAGTTGGCGCGCACACACGTAGGGAGATTCAGAGAGTTATACTTGACATCGCCGCACAGTCGCGTGTGCAGCGACAAAGTAATCCTTTTCTCTCTCTCCCTCTCTCTTAAAAAAATAAACTCAAAAAAAAAAAAGATGTCCCTCGCCAAGTGGATGGTGGGTGCGGCTCAGTACCGGTAGTACGAGGGCTGGTACGGGGTGGCCGATGATGAGTGGTGGTGGTGGTGGTGGTGGTGGTGTCTCTTCTTGTTGTCGGCGCTGCCGTTGTTGCTCTTGGCCGCGTAGGCGTCGCTGACGACGAGCTCCGAGCCGTCGCGCTCCATGTTCGTGGTGGTGGTGGAGGTGCCGTTGTTGCGGCCCGTCCCGGTGTAGTTGTCCCGGTAGGCCGGCTCGTCTAGGGTCTCCTTGCGCCGTAGGGGAGCGTGGCTCGCCACCCCGGAGCCGAGCTTCGAGTTGGTACCCGCCGACGACTCGTGGAGGTTCTCCCAGGCTTGCCGGTAGTAGCGGTTCAGGTTGCCCCGGCTGCCCGACGAGCCGCTGTCGAAGCTCGCCACGGTGTTGCAGTCCGGGGAGGCGCGGTGCCGGTAGTGCTTGCCGCTCCCGCTGTTGCAGTTCCTGCAGGGCACACGTTTACGCGTGGTTTATTTTCTTGTTTTTTTTTTTCTACTTTTTGGGTCAAAGGATTTCGCCAGTACTCCAAAATACCGATATCCTTCGGCCGAAACTCCAGTGAGAAGGTCATAATATACATATGTTATAGGTGATCATATATTATATACAATTGCACAAAGTGACAATGCGGAGAACCTTATAGACAGAGAGGACGTGGGTTGCGCAACTATAATGTGCTTTTGAGAGTGTGTGCCTTTTTTTTTTTTTTTTTTTTTTTGCCACGTAGTGTGTATGCAGTGATGTGCCGGTGTTTTTTTTTTCTAACGAGCATCTAGTCTAGGTCTAACGTTTGTGTACGCTGGTGATGGAGAAAAAGAGAAGAGGCTGTGAGATTTTTTTTTTTCTCGTGCGTATACGGTACAACTAATAATACGTCGGTTCTACTTGCAGTGGTTTTTTTTTCCTCTACTCTATTTGTAGTGCTGAAATGAAGCGAAACGCCCACAACAACGAATCGTTTGGGTGGATCGTGTGTGGTGCGCTATATACGTTGTGCGATTGCAGTAACAACAAAATAAGGATAAAACAAAAGTATTGGTGCGTATTTTGATAAACTGCCAGAGATAAATTACCTTGACTAGTTATTGTACTATTTATTGAGCGGCTGCGCGGGGGTGGCGCGTCGGTGGTGTTTTCTTTTCTTTCGTTTATCGTTGTTGTTGTTTTATTTTTTTTCTTTTTTTTTTTTTTTTTTTTTTTTCAACAATTTGACTTGAGTCGCACGATATATACATATTTATGTACATATACATAGAAACGAACGGTTTTTCTCTTTTCTCCCCTTCTCTTTTTCTTTCTGTGCACTCTAATGTCTCGTGTGTTCTAGTAGAAATCCCTAAAGAATAGAGGACACAACAAACATATGTTAAATACAAATCAAGTTTCATAAATATACACGCAGGCAGTGTCACGACGAATTCTAACACTTTATAATGTTCGTATGAATATATTTATATTTGTACCATGTAAATATTTATAAGCGAATTTCGGAATAAGTACGAAGAATCAAAAAAATATAAACTACACTTATAGCACTTGAACTTTCCAATCGACTAAATGCGACAATTGTACATTGAAATATTTGAAGTTACGGCTTCTCCGAGTGTGTTTATTATATTATATGTACACGTACAGAGATTCGACTCTTGTTTGTATTTATGCGAAAAAAATACGAGATATATATGTATTTAAAAAATAAATTAGGAACAACGTTACCCACACGATTCGATACACACGTGTGCACTCATAAATAATTTTTCTCAAATATGTATATATATATATATATATTCGTTGTATCAAAAAGTAATGGCACGATCTTGCAAAATGAGCACTTTTTTCAAGGCAAAATTGACTTATTTTTCAACTCAATCAATCGTTTTACAATTAATTAATCGTCATGTTTTTTTTTTCTCTTTCAGGCAAATTTTCAATGGCTCCGAGTATTTACAAATTAATACACACGCGAAATTTCAATCAACGACGAGGTATGATATACGATTATGTGTATACAAATGCGTATACAAGCTACAAAAAACAGCGATCGGTAACTGCAGGTCCGTCTTAAAAAAAACTCCCAAGATATGACACTGAAATGGATGGCGCGAAAAACGCTGCCGAATAATACAAGAAAAAGAGATTACCCGAGAGAAAAGAGAATGGAAAAAAAAAAACAAAAACAAAAAAAAAATGGGATGGTGGGGTAAAACGATCAGAGGGAGGGGTTGGAAAAGTAACCGGCCTGATGGGCGGTGGAGAGGGTGAACGAGTAGGGATGATCGTGGTGACGGCGAGCCGTGAGATCGCGGCGGCCGAGGTGCTGGTCGGGAAAGGGCAGGGCGAGTAGGGTGTACCAGCGCGAGGGTGGCATCCCGAGGGCCGAGGGGTCACCCGAGCCACCGTCGGCCACCCCGAGGACCGGACCACCGACACCGCCGACGCAACCACCGAGCCCGACCCTGCGGCCGCCGCGGCGAGCGTTGCTCCGATGATGACCGTTGTACGGGTCGGCCGAGCTCAGGCCCATCATGCCCCTGCCTGCGCCTAGGCCGCCGCTGCCACCGACGCTGACGATCATCCCCACGATTTTTTCGTTTTTTTTTTGTTTTTTTTTTTTTTTTTCGTTTTTTGTCGCGGGTACGTTATTGTGGTTTTTCGTTTTTGACAGCATCACGTTGTTGTTGTTGTTGTTGTTGTTGTTGTTGTTGTTGTTGGCCAGGTGTTTGTGTTTAAGAGCAAAGGAAAGGAGCGAGACACAACAGGTTCGTTAGTTACTTGTCATCGACACACCAGTTGATTTGTTTCTTTTTATTTTTCAGGGTGTTTGTGTGCTTGTGTCTGTGTGTATTTTTATCGACCTTTCATTATAAGATTTGTTGATCGAGCTTTGGCAAGAATTTTTTTTTTTTTTTTTTTTTTTTTTTTTAACTCTTTGAGATTCGCTGATAAATGCATACATGGCTTTCGTGAGTGAATTCCAAAAGTGTGTTTGAGTATAGTAAAATATTAATTATGATGCAACGAACAAATCATGCAATGAAAGGTAAACGATGAAAAACATGAACGCGCGTACCCCCGACGCAGCCGCGTTGTCATGATAACATTAAATACATACACAATGATAAAAATGTACAATTATTATTATTTTATTGTATGCCCAATTTTCGCGTTTAATAAAATTTATTTTGCCACCTGGGAAGAAAAAAGATATCATCTTGCACAATGTATAATGTATGAAAAAAAAAAAAAAAAAAAAAAAAAATTTACACTCAGATTTCGAGTCATAAAATGCTTCTTCCCAAGCAACAATGAATTTGGCAAAACCACCAGACGAGCAAAAATTTGGTATAACATTGTTAACAACATTTACAAAATAGTTAATAGACGTTCAATTAGCAGGAGAGAATTGTTTTATTGTTATCAACGTCGGGGGATCGAGATAAATAATCATGCCCAATTTTTCAAAAGATCGGTATTGACGAATCTTACCTCGAAGAAATAACCCTCCTCGTCGAAAATGAGAAAACTCATGCTTGGGTCAGGACACAAATCACGCGACGAGCAACACAAAGATTGTTAATCGGACACAAACGAAACATGTACATGCGCCACTGACAAAGAAACAAAAAAAAAAAAAAAAAAAAAAAAAAAGGACAAAACTTACGGCTGACGATCGGCGTTTACGAGCCGCAGTACGGTACAGCGTACGTGTCGGACAAAGCGTCGCGATCGACGCACGCCCCAGCACGGGCCCTCGATCCCGTCAACACCACGCCTCGGCTTCTGCTGCACACACCCCCATGAAACGCACGCCAAAGCGATCCATCAATACCGATCGAACCAACCGATCTTGCACGATACGAATGTCATGTGAGGGAGGAAAAAAAAAGGCAAAAATCGAGTCTTACTTGCGAACGATCATAAAGATCGAAACGATGATGACGGTGAGGATGACGATACCCACCGTGGCACCCAGAAAGACGACCACGGTGAGGTTGAGCCTGGCGTGCTGGGAGGCTGGCTGGTCGGCCCGGTTGATCCTGTACGGGCCGTTGGGCTCTGGAACCCCGGCGCCGATCTCCGCGTGCGCGTTGTCGACCCCGCTGCCCGAGATCTCGTTGTCCTGGGGGTGATCGCTACCCTCGTCCTTGAGCAGGACCGGCGAGCTGCGCTCGGAGGTGGTCGTCGTGGTGGTGGTCGGGGCCGCCGGCCTCTGGAGTCCGATGCTCGGCCTCTTGTGAACGGTCTCCTGGACGGTGGCCGGCTGCTCGGGCTGTTGGGGCTTGTTGATGCGCGGGTGGGTCGGCTGGACGCGGTGAGTGGTGGTGGTCGTGGCCGGTGGACTGGTCGCCTGGGGCGTCGAGGCGGTGGTGCGCACCCGCGTCGGGACGAAGGGTGGCTGCCGGCCACGCGTGTTCGACGTCCGGGTCGTCGGTTTGGACGCGCTCGGCGACACCGTGCTCTGGGACTCCTCTGCTGCGGGAGCCGTTAAAGTTCAAGTGGCGGGGAGGGGTACGATTGGAGGACCGGATGAAAAAGTGTCGTACAGATTGGCTTACCAGTGCAAGTGGGGGCGGACCGGTCGTAGGAGCCGCTCGGTAGGCAGAGGAGCTGCCGATTGCCGGTGAGCTTGTGGCCCTTGTCGCAGGTGTAGGTGACGATGCTGCCGACAAAGAGGCTCCGGTTGGTCGAGTTGCCGATCGAGGTTGGCTTGGATCCGCCGGCCTCGGTCACGTCCTCGATGTCGATCTCGTCGATCTGGATCTGGCTGTGGGCCACGAGCGCCGGGGGATCGCACCTGATCGGCTCGCAACGCGGCGGCGGACCGTTCCACCGCTCGTCTATGTCGCACGTCAGTCTCGCTCGACCTGCATCATTGATTTCTTTTTTGTTCCACTCGCGATTCAAGGTGAGAAAGTGCACGAATTTGTTTTCCCTCGATCTCATCGGGGCGCGCACACAACTTTCACTCCGCGAGATTCTCTCGGGTTAGGGGAAGGGGGGGGGAGGTGATGGGGTTTTTACGAGTATATATAACTACGTGTGTCTTACCGGTCATCTCGAAGCCCTCCTCGCACGTGTAGAGCACCTGGCTGAGGTACGTGACCGTGTTGTTGATGAGGCTGTAGCCCCCGTGTTTAATGTTGGCCGGGTATCCGCACTCTATGCCTGTAAGGATACGGACGGATGAAAATGAAATGCCAAAAGGGTGTAGGAGAGAGAGGAAAAAAAAAAAAAATAAATAACAACGAGGTGGACTGACTCTTGCAAACCGGGGGAAACTCGTCGTAGAAGCCGGTGTCGAGGCACTTGCGGCTCGTCGGGCCGATGAGGAGGCTCCCGGTGTCGCAGGCGTACTCGACGCTCGTCCCAACCTGGTAATGCCGCGATGGACTGTTGTTGTTGTTGTTGTTGTTGTTTTTATTGTCACTCGGTGGGTTGGTTACTACCATGGTAGAGTTCGGTGGCTGCTCGGGTCTCCCGCAAGCTCGCGGCTCTACACGGAATGTTCGACGTTATACTATTTATTCGACGCAAATTTCGCAAGGATTTTTATTGTTATTATTATTATTATACACTCGGAGTCCGCGACTTAATGGTGTTACGCGGTACAAATTCTCTTTTCAATGTTGCGTGTACACGCTGTTTTCCACCACGATCGGTGTGTATACTTAATTATACGTGTTGGAGTTAACGACATTTATCCCTCATTATTAGCGAACGCCAAAATCATATTCGGTATATTGAACCAACTCGGGTCGATTGTACATTCTCGCGGGGAAGTAAAGGCAAAACCATAATCCACGTAACGGGGAAAAAAAAAAAAAAAAAAAAAAAAAAAAAAAAAAAAAAAAAANTATTTTTCCTTCCTTGTTTTTTTTTTTTTTTTTTTATTTTTATTTCTACATATTGATGATTATTGATTTATTTCGCTGCACGCCCGATTAATTGGGATGGAATTTTTTGCCCCCACGAAAATCTCGGTGCTATCCATTTACTAAAAAAAAGAAATTTAAGTGCGAGCTAGTTTTTCATGCGTTTTCTAGTGAAAACGTGTTTGGTATTTTTTTCCCCCGCTCCAAACAACGCGAGTCAAAATGCCACAGTTTACCAGCTCGAGTGGCTATTCAAAGCAACCTAATGGCACTCGCGTTATCCGCGCCACGTAATTTCACGGCCGAGCTGGAGGTAATGCACAATTGCGGGAGGTCCTGCTGTAATTTTCGGAAAACACGCGAGGAACAAAGTGCCCGAGAGAGAGAGAGAGAGATAAAAAAAACTGTTATACGCGAGAGGCACACAGAGAGCGACACATTACTCAATATATTCATGTGCGCGCGCGTGAAGTGGCGCAACGTTTCGGGACACCACACGGTATGGGTATTGTGTGTGTATAATGTATTGTATGTCAGTTTCGTGACTCTCCGTTGTTGCGGCTAATTGCGTTTGTATTGCGTCAATTACGAGCAAAGAACAAAAGTAAGGTCCGGAAAATCTCTCGGACAAAAAACCAACGAATCCTTAAAAAAAGAAAAAAGAGGAAGAAAAAATACGAGGAACACAAGTGCAAGGAGGCTGAAAAAAAAAAAATGGTCCCTGTATGCGTGTACATACTACGTATATATACCAAAGGTAAGGTGCAACGAGTACGTGAAGTACATATATATGTCTATACAGTTCGTAAGTAGAGCCGGCCTGGCACGGCACGCGCGAGGAGACACACGCGCGAGCGAGCAAAGCCTCTTTCCCCCTCGGCTATGGCCGCGATGATGCTGTTTGTCTGTGTGTATTACTAACTTGCGGTAGTTTGGCCGGTACCGTAACGCGAAATGTTATTGGCGCGCGGAGCAACCGGCGGCGAACGAGCGACCTCGAGACGCGCAACAAGTGCACCTCGCGTTATACATTGTATCCCTCACGTTGCACTGACTCTTTTTGCTCTATATCAATATCGGACGTTTTTTTTATTTGTCGCTTTTATCGATATTGCCATTCCTAAGATATATATATGTATCGATTGGAAATAAAAAAGCCCCTGGATCTAACGAGCGCGAATCGGTGCCGATGGGCTTATTAGAAGCCATCCGGATCGGAAAATGTAAATGTTTTCGTATCGGACAATCCCAACTTTCACGTCCCTTTTGATGAATCAAAGTTCATCGAACGGATGGTTCTTTTTCTAATTAATATTATGCCCATTCACTACTATAGAGATAAATCAAAAGAAAGCTCGGACGCAGATGAGCACGCGATCGAGGTGCATTTGCATGAAGCATAATTATATAGCATGCAAAACTCTTATTACCACTTACAGCTTGAGCGTATGTAATAAAGGTATGTATGTGTACACGTGCGTATGGGTCGTCGCGATGGTAATTTTGCAAAAGGTAATTCCAATCTTAGAAAGTACATGTTAGGTGCGTAAGTTATCGCGAGTTTGAGATAACGATCGACCGGTTATTTTACCCCTATTTTTTTTTTTTTTTTTTTTTTTTTTTTGTTTTTTTTTTTTNAAAAAAAAAAAAAAAAAAAAAAAAAAAAAAAAAAAAAAAAAAAAAAAAAAAAAAAGAAATAATGTCATCAGGAAAGTATGTATGTATAATAATGATGTGTATTGACTGACGGTGCTGGCAGATGTAGTTGAGCCGTGCCGTGCAGGGCGTGTCGGACCATAGCCAGCCGCGGCTGCCGTCGTAGCGCGCGCAGTCCTCCTCGGTGCCCTGGGGCAGACTCCAGAAGGACACGGATATCTCGTCACCGCTGCCCGTCCACCGCCAGACCGTCCTGTCCTTGGGGTCGCGCACCGCCCCCATCCAGTACTGGCTCGACGTGTCGCTCCTTTAACCACAGCGATTATACGCAATGCGGACAAGAGATATGGGTGGGAGGGGGGATCATGCATGTATTATATAGTCATTGAAAATGTACCTGTGTCGCCTCCACAGCTCCCAGGAAACGAAGCCTTGGAGGGCGGGGTTGCTCTCGTCCACGAGGGAACCGCCCCTGGCTCGGCAAAAGGCCAGGGCGTCGCGGAACGCCTGCGGCTGCCTGTTGTAGAATATGTAGCACTTGCCGTTGTAGGTGGCCGTCGAGCCTGGAGGCTGGTCCCGGAATTGCGGGCAACGCTCGATCGGCAGGGCCTTTGTTTTCGTACAGATTCCATTTTTTTTTTTTTTTGTTTTTTTTTTTTCCAATCAATAAACACAAAATTACCTGATCGGTGTAGACAAAGGCCTCGCAGAGGGACAGCTGCACGGGGAAGGGGGTCTGCGAGGCGGCTTCCAGGTGGACCGAGACGAAGGCGCCGGGCATCGGTGGGTTGCAGGGCAGGAAGAGCGGCTGGCCCTCCTCGAGGGGACCGGTGAACCGGTTGCAGATCGGATTCGTCCCCAAGTCCGGTCGGTTGTTGCCCACTCGCACCACTATCGTTCCCGGCAGTCCGTCACCTATAGATTTACACATAACATATAATACATGGGTGGTGGTGTTGTACGGGCGCTCCGACCAATTTTTCGATCCAGGAGGGATTCATCGGTGTCGATTTCTTTTTTTTTTTTTTCGCAATACCCTGTACCGAGAACGGATTGTTACAGGTGTTTTGCCAAACTAACAAGGGAATGGTAATCGATTGGAAGTAAAAAATATATAAGGCGGGGGGGGGGGGCAAATCCACAGAAGAGAGCCATCCGCAAAAACGCGGAAGAGCAATAAAGACAACTACGACGACAAGGTGCACTATACATGCCGGGAACCCTCGTTTTCTTTTTGCAACGAATTGGGAAACTCTCGGCGGAGGATCGTAAAACACGCAAGTTAGCTTGCTTCTCTCCGTTCTCCGTAAATACACACACACGCATCATAGTATTGTCAAGATGTGCTGGTGCACACACACACAACACACACACGGGTAATTTCTCTCTCAACGTACCTACACATGTGACATAACGCGTTTGTAACATATTTGTGTATATTTATTTATAGTCGCGTGCACGTTTAAAGGATACGTGTGTAAGTATAAATATGTACGTTGGTTTGGTGCGCGAGCGAGCGCTGGACCCGTATGGCCATTACTTTGGCCTATCGGCTTATGTCACTCTCTTTCGGTTGCGCTCGTTCATTCATTCGTATATAGGATAGTATACGCGCATCTGCTATCGCATGATCAACCTTACACTAAGTGTACATATACATTTGTTTGAGAAGCTGCATATAATGCAAGGTATGCGCGCGATGTGTAAGCACGTTACGTTTGTTTTGCGCGCAAAAGTGTAAATACCAATTATTATAATGTATATATGGCAGACGATGTCGAAACCTATACATGTATACTGTTATCATTATTATTTATTTATTAAACCAAGGATACAATGTATTGGCTGAAAATTGCCGGACGACGGGGAGGGGGGTGTAAAAATTGCAACGGCCATTGTTCGTTGATAACATTGACGCGCGGACGATGAGGTGGAGAAACGCCGAGCGTTTCGAAATTTTTCTTTTTTCTTTTTTTTTTTCTTTTTTTTTTTCCTATACTAATGGAAAATTTATCGCTACCCGTGGATATTGGACGAATGAGTTGTGGATGCTGTGCTGTAAAAGATACCGTATACAATATCCTACTTATGTACAACGCGGTGATTGATGAATATTGACAATGGGTATAGATAAGGAGGTGGCATTTTGTTTTTTTTTTTTTTCTCGGCGAGTATAGCTTGGCCTTGTTTTTTCTCTTCATTGATTGATTCTCTCCCTCCCGTGACGTCTGTGTTTTTCCTTTTCTTTTTCTTGAGCACTCGCATCGGGACATACACCCGTTGAACCGATCCAAGACCCAATTGCGATCGTGCCGAAAATGTCGCCGGACAACGGAACCAGAAAAGAATATACGGAAAGAAGGGTATAACGCAATGACTTTTATTTTTCAAAGCGCGGTGCAGCAGAGGCGATGGCAAAAGACCCGAATTCCGTTCTCGCAACGGGTACTTAAGTATACACCTGCGCTTTTAGATCCAGCAGTTTGTTTTTTTTTTCTCTTATTCTCGCTTAGTGTAGGTACTCGCACAATACAGGAATGAGGAGACGCGGAGCGAGTCGAAAAGTAGCCTCCCAAGGAAGAGGAGGGAAAAAAAAGCTCAACAATAATAGAGATCGTACGCGGCGATAGGAGGCGAAACTGGCCGCGATTTGTAAGGCAAATTGTCCACCGTTGGCGAATCGGTGGGCCTCTCCCTCGCGACATACTCGCCCCGAACCTTTCTCTTTTGCAAAACGAGTTTTTTTTTTTTTTTTTTTTTTTATATATATAGAAGTAAGAACAAACTGAAAGAGGAAGAAGAAGGAGTCAATTTTTTTCGCAACAACAACGAGGGAGAGATTCGTGCAATCGGCTGTGAGTCTATATATCACGGCGAAGGAAGGAGCTCTTGGCATTGGGACGCGAGACGAGATATCTATCGTACGTGCGAATTATTGTGCGCGCATCACGTGTAATAAACCATGTATAGTCGCAAGTACGGTATACAGGAAAGACGCGTGTATAGTCAGATCCGGATCCGCGCGAGCTTTCACTCCGCCCGATGCACACGTGCGAGAGATACCTATATATATACATATAGCTTATAACACGCAGGAAAAGAACAGAAGGAGAAGAAGAAGACACGCGCTGCACAGAGAGAGATAGGATCGTTTCTCCCGCAGCTGTTGCCGTACATGCTCGCGGCTGAAGGCGCAGAGTTGCCCAAGGTATATATATATACTTACGCGTCGTCTCCTGACCCACTTGGGGTCTCAGCTGTGACTGCACCGCCATCAGAAGGTAAGATAAGAAGCGCGAGTCCGGCGCTTCCGCGCGAGATTTTCCGGTACACGCCAACTTGTACGTATACATATACAATCTCTCTGCTCCTCCGCAAGCTGCGCGCCGCAGGATCTTAATTTTTTTTTTTTTCTTCCTTGCGCCACATTTTTTTTTTTCTTCAACCACACCTCCCTTCTTTATTTTTTTTTTGGGCGGGGGGTGAAAGACACCAAACTCCCAATACATGTGCATCCGATCGCGATAATCACGATAATTGTGTACAGCACGCGCTGAAAGAGCGCGCGTGTGCGGCTCGTTTTCGCAATTTGTTTTAATAACTTCCTCGACTTTTTTTACTTCCCTTCCTCTTTCTCTGTTGCAAGGCGACCCTACCCCCCCCCCCTCCTCCTGTATAGTACTTATAATTGCAGGAAGGAAAGCATCGGAGTGTACGTATGCCTATGTATATTTACCAGTTTTCCCGAGAGTGTCCTTTTCCAAAGCCGCGACGATTTCTCCCAGGGAATAGCATACTTTATGTGTTCTTGCACCTGTTTACCCGGTTACGTGGACTCGCGGTTTTCAAAGAAAAGTTCTTTTTATTTTATTTTATTTTTTTTTTTTTTTCGCTGCGTTAATCACCTACTTATGGTATATACCCCAATGTATATAGTCTGCGAGGCAAAATTTATATTGCCGAATCTCCATTAATCTTCGTCCGACCAAGAGTTTTTGCGATTTTTTTTCTTTTTTTCTTACACAAAACCAGTGACGATCGAGCCAACAAATATCGTATGTCCTACACATTCCGAATCTACTTAGTTTTCATTATCTCGAGAAGAAAAGAAAAATCAACGATTTGCTAACTCCCCGAAACGCGAAAGTATCAACCTGCAAAGCAATTTACGTTCCGTATATCACTGTGACGATAAAAAAAAAGGAAAAAAAAAAAAAAAAACTTAAGCAAGAGAATCCATGGCTGTATTCCTTGTGGTATTATTATAACACAAGACGTAAAAGAAATAAAGTAAGTAAAGTATATAGGTACTGCAACAGATATGGGAAAACAAAAGATCCACCTCAACTCGTGCATATATATATATATATATATATCATGTGATATTATGTGCTCGTACCTAATACGGTACACACGGAACGAACGACTTCCGGCCCTCTGATATCGAATAGCAGTTGGCGTGTACCCGCGAATTCATATTATCACAGCTGTACATCTCCAGCTTGCCTTTTCGCTGCACGAGAGCACGCGACTAATAAGTATACGAGCCCTACCGTACACATGTAACAGGCTGTGTTCCGCGCTCTTCTGCGATGCACCGATACTATATACTATATCGGTATTTTCTCCAACGAACAGAAATCGAATCAAATTAAATTTTTACGTCTGGAAGAAAAAAAACAAAAAAAAATCTTTCCGGTGCCCCCGGTGTACTATTATAAGCGCTCACCGTATTCAAAACGATTAGCCTCTGCGTCGGGAATTCAACGGACCTCGAACTTGCGAGCGTAGGTATATAATCCAACGAGCAACAAAAAAAAAAAAAAAAAAAAAAAAGGAAAAAAGAAACAAATAACAGCCTGGACATCGGAAAGGAAAAGTAGAAAGCAGCAACAACAACACAGGTAGCCACCNTTTTTTTTTTTTTTTTTTTTTTTTTTTTTTTGTCAAATACTCTATTAAATGGCGTATAAAAAGCTCATCAAACGCGTGATTTGATGATAGTTTTATTGAGCCAATCGTCCGAAGAAATGAACGTCCAGTTTTTCCGACCGAACCCGCAACTACAGCGATCATTGGCACTTCGTTGTTGCTATTTTTTTATTTTATTTCTCAACGGCGACAACATCACTTGGAACGACTTATCGGCATCCCGATTCCGAGGCGCTGATGCACGACTCGACCGGGGCACGAGACAATAGACATAACAACAGCACGAGCTCGTGTACAATAATTAATCACTCGGCGATTTTCCGCGCGGGACGAGAGAGAACATTGACTACTACGGCGCCGACAACATCTGCAACTACCGTGAACCGTTGACAAATCGTCGAGATGTATACGTCGCCGTGCACTATAATACAGTTACATTTATCTACTTTGCAGTGGACAAGCCGTCGATTAGCGCGGACAAGGGGGCTGAAGGCAATGCGAGATCGGCTCGCAACGTACAGTATCGTTACCGCCGGAAAAACAAAAAATATGTACGGAGGAAAAGTACAGCGCTGCTGAAAAAAAACCTGGAGTTATAAAGAGGGGGGGGGGAACTGTTATATAGTGTGCAAGCAGTAGTAGTAGGCCCCTTGCTCTTTGGAATTCATAAATATGTATTTTTCCTGGTGGGTATGACTTATTAGAAAGTCGCCGGACCGGCGTGAAAATTTCCAGGGCGCCGAGACGCGAGAAAGCTCGCCAAACCGATCGGTGCGTGCAGTTGGCCTTTAAAAGGCAACGACGACAGCGAATCGGCTTTTCCTTGCGCGAAAAACAACACATACAAGAGAGAATCGAAGGGTACGTCGGAAAAAGAATGATCCACCGGTCCATGAGAAAGCTCAGGGGGATCGAGACGCGTCCCCGGAGATGCGGGGGACGAAAAAAATCGGTATTAGATCGGCAGCCACATTGTTACGCCA